CACTTGTGCATTCATATTTGTGTACTTTATTGTATATATGTTACACTACAATAAAAGTTTATGCAAAAATAAAAAAGAGAAGTTCTCAGGATACCTTCTTTAATTATACATGAGAATAATAATTAGCATTAAAATTGTTTGCATAAAATAGGCACTGGTATATCCCTAAGTGATTTGAATACTCTGAGGTTATGTATAATATTAATAGAAAGTGGTGTTGTAAAAAATAAGAAAAATTAAATTTCAGCTGGCTCTTATCCAAGTGATAATTCAATTTGAATAACTTTTTAAAGTTTCTCACGTTCCATTTGAATGCTATGTTTTCTCTCCATTGCATGGAAGTGTACAAGTTAAATGTGGAGAGAGCAGTGCCTGTGTGTCTGTGTGTTTGGTGGGTTGGTCAGGGGCAGAGAAATAGAAGGAAACTAATGGGTTTAATCTGATAGGGTAGGGAAAATCTTAACATTGCGACGATATTGACCTAAAATCATCTGAGAGAAACATAAAGATTTTGTTATTGGTGTTTTTTTTTTAATTGTTGACAGTATTACAGATGTCTCCCATTTTCTCCCTTTTTGCCCCCCTCTACCGAATCCCTGCCCCACCCCAGGACTTCCTCACACTATTGTCTGTGTCCATGGGTTATGCATATATACATATATGTTCTTTGGTTACTCTCTTCCTATACCCCCTCCACCCCGACCCAAACTGAGATCTGTTACTCTGCTCCATGCATCCAACCTCTGGACCTATTAGAAACACAAATATTTTTTATGAGATGGGCCCTGGCACTACTTCCAGAGCTGATCAGCCTTAACTTAATTCCATTCTTTATATTTCCATTCTGTTCCAAGCCAAGGAAATCACGCGATCTCTTAATGAATATAAACAAATGCAGCTGTCTGTAACTAAATCAGGAATTTTTGTAAAGTACACATTTGTGTAACCACCTCGGAGATGAAGATATAGAACATTGCCAGCACTCAGAAGCCTCTCTCATGCTTCTTCCCAACCTTATTGTAATCAGCATATACGGAAGTCATACAGGTGTGATAAAAATGAACTAAAGGCTAAACTCACCTATGAATTTGATGCAAAATCTTAAAATATTAGGAAACAGAACAGAAAAGTATATTAAAACAATAAAACATCATGACCAAGTGGTATTTATTGTAGCAATTCAAGGATGGTTCAATATCAGTAAATGTATTACATAATTCATATTACTCAAACTAAGAAAAAGAAATTTACACAATCATCTCCAAAGCTGCTAAAATGATATTTGATAAAATATCATTTGTGATGAAAAATAGAGTTGGCCTTGTTAGGGGCACCCACAACCTACAGTGGAAATTTGGCATATAACCTAAGTAGGCCCTCCAAATACTCCAATTCCCATTCACCAGTTGACCATTGAACAACATGGGTTTGAACTGCTTGGGTCAATTGACAAAAAATCTGCATGTAAGTGAACCTGTGCAGTTCAAACATTGTTCTAGGGTCAACTGTACTTTTAATAAAATATGATTGGATGGCTATTTCCTTGAAATGATTAAATATATCTGGGTAAACCCAGGAGCCAGCATCATGCTTAAATGGGAAAACTTTATTTTCATTAATGAGATGCAGTCTCATTAAAGTTAGAAATGTAATAAGAAAATCATTATCACTATTTTTATTTAATATTGTTCCTGGACATTCTGGAAACCAAAGAAATGAAATAAATTAGAGGTACAGAACTTCAAAACAAGATATGTTATGATTGCATATTTGGGGGAGGACCCAGGAGAATTCACTGAAAATTTTTACAAGCAAAGAGTATTCAGTAAAATGGATGGGTACAAAATAACTATACAGAAATCAGTAACTTTCATGTACACAACCAATAGTAGCAAGATAAAATGGAAATATCTTATTTACAATAGTGAACAAAAACTAAACATATCTAATAATAAACTTAAATATGCAAAAGCTATTTGACATAAGGTTTAGAATATTTCTGAGGATCACATAAAAGATATGAACAAACAAAAAATAAATTCCTATCATAAAGTTGCAAATTCTCTCAAGTTAGTTTGTAAACTTTATTCAATCCTATAAGAATGCTCATAGGATTTTTTTTTTTGAACATAGACAAGTTGATGCTAAATTCATATAGAATATCAAATAAGCAAGAAGAACCAGAAAAAAATTAAATTTGTGTATTATAGTACCTGATAGTATATTACACAAATTTAAATAAATAAAAAAATATAAATATATAGAGTAAAATAGTTAAAGCAGTGTGGTGCTGATACATAACAGACAACTCAATGAACTATAATAAATGGTGTGGAAATCAGTCCAAGTACAGGAATTTGATATATGACAAAGATGTCATCTCACAGAAGAGAGGAAAAAGATGAATTATTCATTATATTACTTTAAAATAATGAGGGAGACATGTAAAAACAAAACAAAAAAAAGGCTGGACCCACATCTCATTTTATACTAGGAAAAATGTAAATATTTAAATATAAAAAAATTGAAAACAAGAACGGACTAAAAGAAATTGTAGGAAAATTCTTCTGTAAACTTGGAGGAAGCTCTTTCTGAACTATTATAAAGCCCAGAAGTCATAAAATAAGAACCTGCTTATAATTACTATATAAAGATAAAAATTTTATATGATAAAACTACCATAAACAAAGTTAAACAAGAAACTGGGAAAAGCATTTGTAATTCAAAGGGCTAAATTTTCCTTTTAATGGAGTCCCCACATACCCTTAGGAAGAATACCAACGACCCAACAGAAAACTAGATAAAGAACGGAAACAATAGCTCACAGAAAAGGAAAGGAAATATAAATGACTATGAAAAGATGCTCAAGCACTTATCAGATTGGTGAAGATTTGGAAAAAAGAAAAGAAAAAAAGAAAGGCTGGGCCACAGCCCGTTGGTGCCAGCGTGGGAACTGCACTCACGCCTCGCTGCGGGGTGTTTGCCAGCCTCCCTGGGATGGAGGACGCTTTGGCAATATCTGTCAAATTCTCACATGTCCTTTGGTCCAGCATTTCCATTTCTAGAACTTTATCCTGCAGAGAAGTTCATGCATATGCCAAATGGCCCAAGTTCTTAATTGCCGTGCACTGTTTGCAATAGCAAAAGATTGGAAATGACGGAAACTTTCTGTCTTGGGGGACTGGCTACCGAGTTAGGGCACATGCTCACAGTGGAACATGGTGCAGCTATAAAACGAAGGCAAGCTCCGTGTGCACTAATAGGGGATGACCTTCAGAACGAAATTAAAAGTGCACAAAGGCCTGTACAATATGCAAGCATGATACTCTTTGTGGAGAAAAAGAAAAAAGAATATAATATGTATATTTGCTCATGTATTCATAAATTCTGTCCAAAAGAAAGCCCAAGAACCTGATAATTACATCTGTCATCAAGGGTAGGATCTGTGGCTTGAGGACAACGAAGGGAGAGAGGACATCCTGTCCTTTTATTTTGAACCATGGGAATGTATTAAAGTCTAGGATGTGATATAAAGGGTGCAGTGTCCATGCTTACCCTGAGCTTGGCTGACAACAAACTCTCTTGTTAATCTACAGGGTGTCCCCCAAAAATGTATACACACTTTAACAGCCGATAGCTCAATTTTGAAAATGAAATGTATTTTAATAAACACCACCTTTATAATTATTCAAAGTGTGTGTATATATTTTTGGGGGGCACCCTCTATATAGCTTTTTGACTTAGGCACCAAATGAGAGAAATAACTTTTTTTTTTTTGCTTGGAAGCCTAAGTTCCAAAATAAAAGTTAAGTAAGAAAATAAAACGTCAAAAAAGTAAAGAAAAAAGTTGTTCAGCAATAGGAATAGTAGAATCATGGTTTGTTTAAAGCAATCAAACAAATATCAACAACAAAAAAGAAACCATGTGGGTGTTTAAAGACATAAACCAAACCTTTGGCAAGGAGGGGTGGGTAAGAGAAAGCATGTTACTTTTTTTAGATATTTCCATGTTTTTGAATTACTCAGATTCATTAATGTATCAATTAATTTTATAATTGGAGAAATTATAAACAGATTAAAATATAAAAAGCCTAAGGTTTGATTGGTAACCAAACATACATAAACATGTTTAAGCTAGGGAAAAAAAATACAAGTTTAAAAGAGGCACCATTAAGAAAAAAATTTTTTCAATTATAGCTTATAGCCAATATTATTTTGAGGGACCATTTTTTTGACTTGTAAAATAGCAATATTTAAAAAATATAATGATGTAGAGTGTCGCGAAAGGTACTTTCATACATTAGTGGTGGAATATAAATTGGTACCTTTCCCATGCTTTAATTGAAATTTACAACCCGCAGTTGTAAGAAATAACAGAGAGATCCCATGCATCCTTTACCCGTAGGTTCTCTTTTAAAGAGCAATTTGTCAGTGTAAGTGGAGAATCTTAAAAGTATTCACATTTTCATCCAGAAATCCCATTTCTTGGAACCTATCCTAAAAAAATAATTCAAAGGAAAGAAAAAGCTATATGCATAAAAATGTCCACCCAAGACCATATATAATATATATATATTCATATATATAATTTATACATACATATCTATCTATAAGTTAAACCATAAAGAATCAGTTCATTAAAAAACATAGCCACTAGATAGAATATTTTATAGCCATTAAATCACATTTATGTAGACTGTGAGGTAATTGGCTTAATACCCGTAATATAATGTTGATTTAAAAAGGCACAAAATTTTATGTACAACTTAGCATTCATATGTGGAAAGTGGTGAAATTATGGTTAACTGTCTCTTTCAAAACTTTCTATAACAATTTCAAATTTTCACATTTTTTCAAATTTTTAAAATTCGTTTTCCTACTTTTGTCAGCATTTAATTTGAGAAGGAAATCAAAGTAAAAGACGCCTGTTTATTGACCCAATAATGATAACTAACTGCCCAGCATGAGCCGTGGACTCGTGCTGGGAAAGGGCCACTTACTTGCATCTTCCTCTGGAGAAGGAGGGACCCTCTGGCCCAGGGAGCGGAAAGGCTGCGCCCGCCTCTCCAGGGGCGAGTTGTCCACAGGCTGCACCCTCCCCTTGGAGATGCTAAAGATGTCACGGAGGTCCTTTCTTTGTCTGGGTTCTTGGAGGGAACTCTCAAAAGATCTGTCTTTGAATCTGAGGGAGGAAAAGAATGGGATTTTCCTCTTTGGACTCCTAGAAGCATCTGGAAAGGTCTCCTGCAGACTCACTTTCTCGAGGAGGGTGGGGACATCTTCCACCTTGTTGCAGGCTGGGGAAGCGAATGCAGGGGACATCCTGGAGCGCCGGGTGGGTAAACTCTGGGTGCGGAGGGCAGGGTCGGGAAGGCCGTCGGGGTAAAGCTTGGCAGCCCTAACAGGTGGGGTGCCCGAGGAGAAGGCGGCTGAGGCCCTGCTCGCCGTGTCTCTCCCAGGGGACTGCTGGTCCCAGTCTTTACTGGGGCTGGTTTTCCGAAGGCTGAAGGAGCGAGTGCAAGCTTGCGGCTGGCTGGTGGGCAAAGTCCTTGATTCTGGCTTGGCCCAGGCCTTCCTCCCACCTTCAGAGTTGGGAAGCAAGGCCCCCAGGGATCTGCTGATGGCATTGGCAATGAGCCTTAGCGGGGACTTTGGTGGAGACACGTTTCGCTTCTCCAGAGTCCTTTCAGTTGGGGTCCCCCTCGTCTGAGCCTCTGCCTGGGCTGGCGGGGTCTCTCTCTCTGCCCGAGGGAGCAGCAAGGGATGGACTGGCTTCGGCACACGGCCCCTTCTACCGTTCTCGGCACTTTTTGGGGAAAGCTGTGGCCCAGCTTCGAGGCGCAGGCTCTCTGTGTGGATGTCATTCCAATCCAGCAACCTGGTCTTCTGCTCCTGAGTGAGGGCTAACTTCTTTAAGCCCACCTTCTTCCCCTCGGCCAGCTTTGACCCACCCTCTTCTTCCCTCCAGGAATCAGGATTCCCTTCTCCTGAGGCCTCTCCAGCCCTAGGGGACGGATCTTGGTCTGGCAAGCACCTGTCCTTCCCTATAACAGGTTGTGGGCCTCTGTGGGTGCTGAAGGTGTCCTGACAGTCATCAGGAGCCATCTCTGCAGGGCTGGGTGGCGTGGGACTTGCAAGGCCACCTCCCCCAGGCCCCACCAGGCAGTACTCTGCCTGCTCCAGCACTTGGCCATGAGGCAGATATAGAGGGATTTCTTTGGGTGCTCCTTGGGCTCGGGCTCGCCTCAGAAAGATTGGGGTGGAAGGACTGAAATGACCTCTTGAGACCTGCTGGGCAAAAAATAGAAATTTAGAAATTTCCAACACTTATTATATGAGGAAGTCACATCTCAGTCTACAGCTCCCTCCCTTCCTCTCTCCAGGTCTCAGATACCCAAAATCGAAAAGAACTCTGCATAGGATGATTTCAGAGGGCAGCTCTTGGCTCAAATGATCACCTTGGGACCTGCTGGAATCTCCCTGGAGCCCCTGGATCAAAGGCTTTTCTGGGTCTTGGATTAGGTGGGTAGGAAGCCAGAAGGTTAGGCAAAGACATGGACAAGCTCCTGGGCCAATGATGGTAGGGCTGGCCTGGCCCCTTTGGGTGGTCCGGCACATAAGGAAGGATAGAGCCCCCATGGCTTGCTCAGCCATGTCCCTACTAATAGGCATGTTCCACCCACAGGTGTGTTTCTCTAACTACCAAGAAACCAAGGCTTCTTGCTCAGAGCCTACTGAAGTGAGGAGAGAGAGCTACCTTTCCGGGTGGGAGCTGTGGGGCAGGATGGCTGTCAGGACCCTCCAATGCCCTTTCTAACCCTGACTCTTGCCCTGGACCACTGGGAAAGTGACCATTTCCAGCATGCAGGACCGTGGCTCCTGGCAAAGGAAGACCAGGGTGGACTCTACAAGGAGGGGCTGTGCCTGCCTGGAGCTCTGGCCTAGGGCAGGTCATGGGTCAGCAGCTCCACAAGAGCATGTGCTTGTCTTTCCTGTGCTCTCTCCTGCACAGAGCCTAGAGCAGGGCCTGGCAGGTCACAGGGGCCTGACGAACTCATGTTGAAGGAGAGTCCAACCCTGCGTTTCTCAGTGATGTCATTTTCTATTCAAGGGAAATGCTGCTTCCGAGGTTCTCAGCTCCTCCCAAAGGCACCCTCGGGTCTGTGCCTGCACTCCTGCAGTTGCCAGCTTCTCAACACCCCCAGGGAAGACCTCCAGGGTGCAGTACATGTCCTAGCACCTCTGCATCCCACATCCCAGCCTAGACTCTGCACCCAGTAACGTCTGCTGAGTGAATGAGCAAGCGGCTGCGCCCAGGGGGTGGCTGAGAGGAGCAGGGTGAGGTTCTGTGGAAGGGACTCGCGAAGGATGCCCTGGGTGGACTCTCGACAGAGATCTCTCAGGCCCTGGCTTTGCACGTGGGGTGACTGGCCAGTGCTACGAAACGGGAGTTAAGTGTGGAAGCAGCTCAGCTTCCTCACACCTGTGCGGGGCGTGGAGGGGCAGTTACCTGAGGTGGAGGGGAACCGCCTGGAGCATTGCCTGGGACACTGCCTGAGGAGGACGCTGGGGAGGCCGAAGCCGAGGACAAGGGCGACGGAGACACAGGAGAAGCTTCCTTTGGAGGTGACACAGTTCCTTCACTGTTCACTGGCATCGAACCTACCAAGGAAAGAGCACGCTCTCCATTACAGAGTGGTCACTACCTTATTTCATCACGGACAGGGGAGGCTTTAGGTGAAGCCCCGACCCCAAAAACGCAGAGGGAGGAAGGTGTCAGAGATGGATTCAAGGCCCCAAGGCCCACGGACTGGGACTTGGAGGGGTGGGGTAGGAGCGGCAGCTCCTCTCGGGGAAAGGGGCTCCCAGGAAGAGAAGTCTAAGAGCCACTGTGCTTCACACTCATGTGAGCGATGGAACAGGAAGCCCCCCGGGGGTTTCAGAAATGGACATCTACTGGGAAAGGGCCCCCGCAGCCACTCGACGAGGCTGGGGCTGCGTTAAACCACTCGGCCAATACACCACCCGAGGCCTCTTCCCACAGCACCCTGCACCATCAGCTGTGGGCCCCGGCCACGCAGGCGCTGCTAATGAAACGGCTCCTTTCTCTCACATGTGCGCCACGGGGCTCTCAGAGGAGGTGCTTAGCTTGAGATTTTAAGAGTATACAAGGGAGGGGGTTATCATGAATATCAGATCATTTGAAGCATATGGAGTGAGGCTCATGCCAAGCTCCTGCTGGTCAGGGACAAGGGAGACGCAGCGGATGTGCGCAGAGCAACGTGAGAAAGGAGTGCGGCCGGGGCCGAGAGGACGAGCCTGACTCTGAACTGTGGGAGCTGAAATCGATTAGCCTAGTGACAGCAGGTCTCTGACAGCTGTAGCCCATGAGATCAGTCCCATTCTCTCTCACCATCTCTCCTGAGTGCACACATGCACACACACACACACACACACACGTGCACACACACCCCCTAGGGACCTTAAATCTAAAACTGCAAGCATTTTGTTTCCATGTTGAGCCATTTCAGTAACCTGCCCTCAAAGGGATTCAGAAAATGCCATGCTCCGTTTCCGACTTCCCCACTCAGCGTCTGACCTGCCTGCTGAGCCGGCGCTCTCGTGAACACTCCCAGCACATAAGGGCTGTCCAGGACCACTGTCTCCAACTACCCCGCCGACCCATTCCAACTTTCCTCTGAGGTGTCCAGCCTTCAGATTTCAGCTCGCTTCCTAACTCAACACAATCCCCTGGCCTCAGTTTCCCCAAAACTATGGGAAAGAAGCACCTCCTTCTGGACCCACCCAGGTGAGGCCAAACCCAAGCCCTGGCCAAGAAGCATTCCTTTGAGGCCCATCTTCACAGCAGGCCACACAGGGGGTTTTCAGTATTCTGTCCTGCTTTCCTCATAGGAAATGCAAGCCTGTCAGAGCGCCTGTCCCAGTCCTGGGCTCTGGAAAGACGGCCCCCACACACATAGCTCCCAGGGAAGCCCTCCAGAATGCTTCAGGGGGAAGAGGTAACTCAGGGGAGCAGATCAGAGGCGGCAGGAAGGAGCTGCTGGGGAGAAAGACTGCCGGCTGCCAGGAGCTGATGCGGGGGAGGCGGCTGGCCTGTTACCCAAACCCCCACCTTAGCCCCGGGACCTCTATCTCAGCCCACAGTTCTATGGTTCGAACCTAAAAAGGCAAAAGTTGTGAGTCAGTTGCCGTTTCCTGTGCTCGGCTTGCCAGATTCCTGCCACATTCCTTCTCCTCCCCTTCCTCGCCCCCCATCCTCCTCTCTCTGCCACCCCCTGACTCAACCTCCTGAACTGTCTCAAAGTCCCCTCAGCTCAGCAAACTGCCTTTTTGCTCCCGGAGGCGCTCTCCCAGAACCTTCTGACACAGGGCCAGGGACACCTTGGCAACTAAGCCTGACAGGAAGCCTCGGGGTTCACAAGATCATGGCCTGGGAGCTGCTCCCTCTCTTCTCCTTTCTCTCACACCCC